TTCTGCCAGGCTCTCCTGCACTGCACTGCACGGCAGTCCTGAAGAAGCCTCTCACCTATCAGAATTTCTGAGCCCACGTCCTCACAAACGGTAACAAAAAAAACATCTGCAGGAAGCTTCAGTACAACCCCCACCCCGTCTGGGTATTACCACATGCAGCCCCGCACGCTCATCGGTTGGAACAGCAGCTTGAAATGCACTTGAATTCAGCTGGGGAAGGGCTAGGAAAAGCAGTGAGTGCCCAAGCTCCCATCAGCAGAAGGCAGCTTGGGAAAGGTCTAATGCCCGTGCTTTCCATCACAAGGAAGTGACACCGAGCAAATGCAGGACAATTCAAGCAAGCGTCACACAGCTGGCACACCACAGCAAACACCTTAGGTACGGACAGACAAGTTACAACCTCAAGATGGGTTATTAAAACAGAAGGAGAGCAGAGGCTTTTAGATGCCATTATTTTAACTAAGTCTTCTTTCATCATCTGCTTCCAGCTTTGAGGGCACAAGAAGAGATTAACGCAAATAAATATGGAAGTTCTCACTGAAGCCTGCAGCCTTTAAAGCAGAGGTAGCTGACACGGAAGGGAAAGGAGCTGAATCCACTGCAGTTCTCTAGGACTCTCAGGACGTGGCAGTATCTACAGGCAAACTGAGTTGCAGCAATTTAAGCAGTTACTGCCCCCGAGCCGGTGTGATAACAGGCCCACTAGTAGAGAGAGCTGTCTGCTTCAATGAAGCGTCAGCCAGGCCAGTCTAAAACCCTAAGGAAAGCGATCAGAGCTAACCTGGCTAACACTGCATGAACATGAATTAGGGAGCACTCACATAATATATGCTCAGACAACTCAGCCTTAACACACGGGAGAGAAAAAGGGGAAAACGGGCAGTCACCTCTTGACCACACTGGCTGTTTCCCAAGTAATGCAGCAGGCCTTCAGAGAAAAGCAGCATTAGACATCAGAAGTTTTGGGCTGCAGCTAAAAAATTAACAACTGAGGACACTGCACAAACTGCCACTTCAGAGCCACTACAAACTCCATGTTTGGCGCAAATAATCAGCTAGCAATCTTCAAAGGAAGCCCACATCCTGAAGCGCAGCTCTCCTTCCCATCCAGCTCTGGAACAAGGCTGGTATTGACAGGCAGGACTGCCAAACCTAAAACTTCTATTGATTCATGCTGTAGCACTGTTTTCTGTTGTGATTCACGTTGAAGACACAATCGGCACGGACTGCTCGAAATCTTCCCTGAACGGCCCGTGTTCAACCACAGTCTTCAGGGCAGGTAAGTCTGCAGCGTCCATGCCACTCATTAGCACGTGGCAAAAACTACATTCCCAAGCCCCAGTGAATCAGTTACCTGAGTTTGCAACATTTCTCTGCAGTGACCTTATTACGCATCCCCAAAGAGGCATCAGAGCCAGCTCGACACTCCCTCCACGTGCCAAGTAGGATTGGTTTCCTTTATTGGTTTAATGTAATTACTGCTCCCTCCAACTCCTGCAGAGCAGCAAGCATCAGACCCCAGTGTTTTGCTACTCTTCCCACAAAATATTGGGAGGGGAAGAACAGTTTACTCAGAGTAGCTTCTTGACTGAGCAAGGCAAATCACTATCTCTGGATCAAGGCAGGGTTTTCTGAAAATCCAGAGCTTATTTAGACTCACTTTCAGGAGCCCTCACCAGGGTATCCGAATAGTTCTTTCTAAGAAGGGAAGAGCCCAGTGAATGCTCCCCTATGGTGAAAATTCTTCCGAGACCCTTCTTCCGGGGCCTAGTCAGGGCAATCCTCTAACTGAAAGAACTTCAAAAGACGACCCAACATTCTTCACTGCCTGTCCTACTCACGCTGTCATTTTACAGAGTCAGAATAAGCCACTAATGAGCAAGAGGCAAGACCTGACTAACCAATGCCCTTTGTACTTCCCAAGATCCACCCCCAAAGTATTTTGCTTAAAGCAACGTCACACTCCATGCAGCATCTTGTGTGTGCTTAGTGCAGGAAGCATCAGCCAGCAGGAGGTACGTACGGCAGGTGTAAACATCTCTGTATTCCATGTGCTCGTAGTCGGGAAGGATTTTCATAAAACGCCCCGACTTCACTCGTGGGTTTATACCTGAACAGACACAGCAGGTTAAGTACTAGAGAATTCCACTCCACTGTAACCAGCACGTAACAGTAAGATGAATCTGGATCAGCTAAATGAGATAGTCAAACTCCCTTTTGACTTTACTACCACTTGTGGTGCACTGATTTGTTTCCCTCAGCCCCAACACCAGATATATCCAGTTAGCAGGATACTGAACTTGGCACGTTCTGTATTCACGTAGGCAATATTTACCAATGGCATCCAATGAATTCAAAGTGGAACCAAGGTCTCTCAAATTCTGTAGTGTGACAGCAACAGGACGACTCTCTCAATAAGACCATTTAGCCAAGTAACTAAACGGGTGGTAGCCCAGGCCTTGGACTAGATATGGTCTCCAACACCTAGGAGTTCCCCATTTGCCACACTACTACTTAGAGAAGCACGTTCAGTGGACAAGAAAGTGCATACGAGTCCTGCTAGCAGATTCAAATAAACCTCTCTAATTGCAGAAGAGTTAATGGGCCAGTGGAGAACATGCGGACACATCACCAGAAAACAGTTCCAAAAACACTTTAGTGCTTGCACACAGGGCAAACTTGAATCTGAGCAGGAGAAGATGACGCATCCCCAAAAGCCAGAAAGAGCTGCATTCTGACATCAGAGTAACCATGCTAGTTAAGACTGCTCAACGGGTAAGGACGCAGCTCTTATTAAGAAAGAAAATAAAAGTTTATTGCAGAGGTGTTCTTCGCGTGTCAGGCGCAACTCTTTGCCAAAGGATGTTGTGAAGAGAGAAACACACTTGGGTACGTGGGAAGACTGGACAAATACTTGCAAGATAGATCTGTCAAGGGTTACTAAATAGACAAACCACATTAGACTCTGCAAATCCCTCAAGCTGAAAATAGTCAGAAGCAGGGAGGGTACCTAGGAAAGTAACATATAGGCTTGCCCTCTTCTCACTCTCCCCTGGCTTACAGCCACTGCAGAGAGATACAATACTGGGCTGGATCAAGACCCTTATTCTGAGCCAACAAGGCAATTTTTACATATAACTTGTGTATAAAATGCACTAAACATCACTGTACTAAATCTGCACCACGGAACTATTGCAGTGGAAAAAATACAGGTCACGAAGAGGTGTTTTGCCACGTAAGACTGGCAATGCAGAATTAAGATCTGATAAGGTACGCACTATGTGGCAGTTAACCACACCAGCATCATACTGGCTGAGAGAGATCCCAGACTGAATGGGCAAGCAAAGGAGGCCTCAGGTCCTGATCAGGTTTCTCTGCAGACATCTGAGCGCTGGGTTAGCTTCACTTCACCCCTGCATACCCCTATGCAAACGAGGCAGTTCCGTTCCCAATACACAAACATGTAAACAGGGTCACTAGGTGATGAGGTAATTTGCCTGTGCATGCTCAGGAAGTCTATTAAAGACAGGATTAGAATTTAGAAGTTACTCCTTCACAGCATGATCAACGCTTGAGATCATCACTGCTTTAAGGCTCTGCAAATACAGCATGTATAGAAGCTGAGCTGCATTTTGGATCTGCAAAGCCTACACAGGTCTCCCACCATTGCAACTTGGGACAATTACTGCTTTTGTTTCATAAAGCAGAACCCTATTTGAACAGCCGGAAGCCATAGTTCAAGCGCTGCAGGTGAAATCTTGTTCTTTTTCCTAAGGCTCACGGGCAACTCCACAACAAACAATTTGTGGTGGTGGAGCCAAGATAACACAGGCTGGCAGCGTTAGTAGGAGAGCTCTCTGGGGTCTAGCCAGACTTTCGGAGCAACCAGCTCAACTTCTGACTGGAAAGGGCAAGATTTGGTGACAGGGGAGCAGGCCTGTCCCCAGGGATGCAGGCCTCTATTCAGTCCTTACCCTAACTTTTTTTTTTCCCCCCTCTGACGCTCCCCTACCCCCCACTGTAAAACAGGAGATGGGCGTCTACCTTGCAGAACGTTAGACGTCTGTGTCCCTCTCTCACAGCCGTTCCCAAAACACACTGACATCTCTGCAGAAGCCCAGCCCTGCCAGGCTCTTCTCCTTTAGAAGCAATCCAAAGGAGCGCTCATCCCTTTTCCTACAGCACCTTCCCAGTGTCAGCACGCGACAGCATTGTTTCACTGACTGCAAAGGGAAGCCTGAGTGTAGTGGAATTACCATTACAGGCAACACTTGGTTACATCAGGCTGTGGGAAGCCTCCCGCTTTGATAAATACCAGTTAATCCCCTGGAAAGATCTGAAAAGGGTAAAACAAATGGGAAAGGAAGAAAAACTCTCAATATACTTCTCATTACAAACTTTTACATCCAGTGCTTTCTTCCCCAGCAAAGGAGTCAGGGACAGAGACAACCCAAATCTTGGCAACCGTTTCATGTTAAAGCCCCAAACATTTCAACTTCAAGGATAAAACCCCTGTCATTAGAAAGCAGGTCTCAACAACTTCTACTATTAAAGTTTAATAAATATTCAGCATGTATGGGCTTTCAAAATTGGTACTGAACAAACACATACAGATCTATGTCAGCTTTATCACTTACGTTTGGCATAAACATCTCGGCAGGACACTCCCGTGATCTCCAGTTTCCGTAAGTTTTCACAGACGCCATATTCTGCAATGACACAGATAGTAACATCAATCAACTCTGTCACAAAGGTGTTTGCTACACAAGATCTTGATATCTACACTTTGAACAAAAAAAGAGCTCTTATTGCAAGCATGCTTGCAAGTTTCTACATTTATCTGAGAATCTTATTGCTGTTCCAAAGTGAAAAAAGCAAGCTAGATGTTATTTCACTGCAGTCCAGGATCTGGGAGCCTAACACATTTTACAAGTGACGCCTGCAATGAATACACAAACACGATGAAGTTACGGATGCTTACAGATAGTCTGAAAAGGGTACGAAGTGTGGAAGATGTACTCATTCCAACTGGCATTGTCTGTCTGTTTAGATCAAATCATGATTGCGTATAGGAGTTATTTACTCCCACTGAGGTATCCAACAGGGAAAACTGCTTATTAGGATCCTAAAAAAAAAAAAGGGTCATAGACTTTAAAAAGAATGGAGACATATAACAGGCATCACTATGTACAAATATGGTCACACTTGAAAGCATATCTGATTGAGATGGCGCTGTTCTACACTCAAATGCCTTTGATTGCTGACAGAACACCCTGAAACAAAGCAATCCAAAGCTCTTAAAAGCAGCTTTGAAGCAGAAAATGAGATAACTCATTTCAGTTTCAAGAAGTCAGCACTGAATTTCTGAAAAACTCTACAAAATAAAAGCAAGCACAAACACCTCAATGCAAGAAATCCTTGGAAAACAGGAGGGAGGAGAGGAGGGAGATCCCAAAAAGCAGCAAGTAAGAGAACTGCAGCAGAGACCCCCTTAGATCTCAGGCAGGAAAACAATTCTCCCGGCTGTCAAATACATCTATACTACAGATCAAACACCAGCTTCCCTTAGCAATTCCTAACACCTGCCAGATACAAAAGCGTGTCTGTGAAGACCCACATCAAACTATCCAATATGAAACTTAACCTCAGACAAACTTCCTCTAATTAACAATCTGCCATAGCTGCCAAATACCACTGCCTAATGCTGGTTAACTTACTCCAAATTGAGAACTCAATTTCCATATATGAGAGAAAGCAGAAGTTTCCCTGAATGATTTTAACCTCATTCTGTCTGTAGATACACTGGTACATACATTCAATGATAAAACATACAAAAAGCTTACCGGGCGCCTGCCTCTGGGGAATACATGTTCTGTGTAACACTGCTTTGAGTTACTTTGGGCTAACATCAGAACCAGCTTCCAACAGAAGCAGCAAGTTCAATAAAGGTAAGCACGGACAGAAGGGACACCACATTCATTAAAAGGTGCAGAAATCAGCAGCAGAGTCCCTATGACTTCAGTAGCAAAAGCCAGAGGAAGCTCTAAGCGTACTAAATGCAAGATGGGATGAGGAAGTGCAATTAGCCAGAGAGCAGATAGGCAAACTTGCAGGAAAGTACGCCCAGCCCAGCCCAAGCTGTTTAGTACTTGGCTATAGTCAGATGACCTGACATAGCAGTTCTGCAGATCTGTGAAACTAGAGCTCTGCCTGAGGCTGGAAATTCAGACCCACCCTGCAAGCCATCCCATGTCTGTTCCTCCTGCCAGGCTTCGCAAGCCTTTCAACCTGCATATCTACGGGAATGGGTACGTGTTTGGTAATTACATCAAATGGATGGAAAGAACAGTATGTTTCCTCAGCTGATCAGAAAGTTAGAGATCTTTATAAGGTGACAGAAACAGGATGGTTTTAGCCTGCTGTTTGGAAACAGCTCTTTTCATGTAAACAAATAGTCACTGGGCCACAGAACAGAATCAGTCAGATAGACTTTGTGCAGCAGGCACTGCAGCTAGATTAAATCCAACAGTGTCATCTGAAGATACTTAGACTGCATCAGAAAGGGAGGAGACATGCAGAGGATCCTGCCCAAATGGCACTGCTCCATGTTGCTCCTTACCAGCGATACTAGCATAGTGACATTCTCTCCTCCTCCAGAAGGTCCCGGTTTCTCTCGGGCATAGCACTTTGCCTATACCTGAAAATCACTTCAAGGGTAATCTCAGTTCAGTGCTACAATAAATTCACTACCAGCAGGTATCTTGAAAACAACTGGGTGGGGCAGCAAGTGATTCGATGCTAAAGCTCTATCCCAGCTTCGTGGAAGTGACCTTGGTAACCAACAGGGAAACTATAAAAAAGCAAAACCACCACTAAGGATGGTGCATTCCCTAGGTTTCGTAGTTCATATCTTTCCTAAAAAGATTCAAAGTTCTCCCAAATAACAAGCACCCCAGCAAAAAAACAAAAAACCTACACAAAATAAAAACAGAAACACTGAATTTTCATATTGCCACACACTACCTACCTGACATTAAACACCCAAAGCTTACAAGAAAGTGTTATGGGGGGGGGGGAGGGAGTAATTTTAAAATTGTCCTTAAAACTCATCTCATTTTATGATACCTAATCCGTACCCTGTTTTGTTCTGCAAACTTAACTACAGTCGATCAAGGACTCCAGACGGACTGCTTAACCCTGGGTAAGCGCATCACTTCAGCCGCTCTGACTCAGAAGCTGTTAACACCATGAGAGTTGCTTGATGGGAAAAACAAGTCTCTTGACTCTCAGCCCCTCCAAAAATTCCAGATATCATAAGCAAGAAAGCTGGCCATCTCCTGATGATCCAGGAGACAAGAGGGGCATACAATTAACAATAAGCAGAGGGTCAACATAGTTACAGAAAAGTAACATTGATAAGGTTTTCTTAACAGAGAATGGAAAACTTTTTCCCAGAAAGCTTTGAGGGACTCAAGCTTTCTGTGACATTCCACTTCAGCACAATTAAGTCTATTTTAAGGAAACATATCTCAGCGCTACAGTTCACTGAGGAAGTATTTCAAAGAGTTAACAGACACAGAAATTCACATGTGAAACTAATGTGGTTAGAAAGCAGCTACTTAAAACCCTGCTTCGAAAGCAAGGGTGGATATTGGTTTTTAAGTTCTCATTTGACCAGCTGGAAAGTCTGCTCCATTAGCTTTATAAGGATTGCTTGAAAGATTAACCAAACACATGGTGACACAGTGCTGTTTCCATGGCCACGTGCACTGGAATGTACAGGACTTGGAAAGGTAGTCCCCATATATCATGAACTGTACTAATACTTTTGCAAGTGTAATTTACTCCCTGCCCTGCTCTCGCCACATGCTCTAAGCCTCACACTCCATTTTCCTTTCCAAAGGAGACGTTGCACACCTAGCTCTGCACGCCGTTTCTTCTCCTTGTCCACTTTCATCCATGATCTCTCCCTCCACGGCAAACAGATTCTTTCCTGCAGTTGTGATGCAGTCCTCTAGAAACAGGAAACATTTTTGCTATCTTTCAAAACCTTTTTTTTTTTTTTTTTTGAGTACAGCTTTCAGGCGAGTTGTTTTCTCTTCCTGGCTGCCAAAAAACACTGGAGTAAAAAAAGTGGCTCCATCAATCAATGTATGGAAGAGCCCCTATACTCATAAAAAGACCAAATCACTGCTCTTTCTTGCCTCTTTATCAGCACTGCAATGCTAGTAAGCAGCTGCAAGTACTGTATATGGACATCCATAATTCAGAGAAAATTAAGATGTCTGGTAGACCTTGACACCCTTACTGTTGCTAAATTTCAATTGTGCCCTAACTAATCAAGTCCTCTAATTATTCCTGGGTAAAAGCGTGTTTACAAGACCGTACACAGAACAGAAGGCATAGAAGCTTACTGGATTATTTCAGAGACCGCAAAAATGGAAGATGCTCAGGCTAGCATCTCTGGAATACAGGGCAGACGAATTTGGAACCAGCTTCTCGTTTCCAAAAGCCAAACTGTCAGATTAAAATACACCAAATACTTTCCCAAACATTTATCCCAGGGGAAGGCTTGTAGTTACCACTGAGATAGTCTGCAGCTGCAAATGAGAAGCTGAGGAAAAGGAGACACAACTTGCAGCAAATGAAAGCATTTGGGGAAACCCTAAAGCAAGAGATCAGTATCCTCAGATCTGCAGCTTAAACAGATCTAAGCAAGAGCAAGATCCTTTGAAGGAAGCCTACAGCTAGTGAGCACCTGCTGCTGGCAGCAAGAAACAGCAAACCATTGGCTTTTAAACAGCAACCCTTAACAAAGAACATGGTCAGAGATGAAGAAAAGCCCACCAGGGTTCACCAAAGAAACACACCATTCGGTGCTTTAACCTCACGCAATGGGAGATTAAAGTCTTGAGAGTTATTAAAATCACCTTTGCATTTAATAGAGTGCAGCACTACAAAAAAAGGTTCCTGTTGTGGGAGCAGTTGCACATCAAACTCCCGTAAGGACTCTCTGCTGTCTTGTAAAGAGCCAAACTCCATGCAGCAATCCCCTCGCTGAGGACATAAATCAGTATTGCCGCTCCCCTCCCTAGGGACGTCTTTCTAGAAAACTTGCTGAAGTTAATATCTTTAACACCTTGGCTGACATTTTTGCCATTGTGGCTTGTTTTTACAAACAAAAGCCTTTTCATCCAAGCTCTAGATCTAATTATTCTGAACTACTGGTCTGCTTCAGGTGTCCTGCTGCATTTGTGCTATTTTATTTTAAGACAGAAGTGGTTACCATTTAAAATGGACCATCAGGTATTAATCAAGGTAAGTCAGGCTATCGGCAGGGGTGAAACACGCTTTAGTTCTGCACCCGCTGCAGAGATCAGCAATCTCCTATTTATAGCATAACTAGGAAAGTAACTGCAATCCTGCTCTTGCCAAAGAAGCAATTCAGAGACGTTGTTTACCCCAAACAGTTGCAACGATAAAAGGACAACAGTTCAAACACTCCTGCTGCCATTGTTACACAACTACCTCCGGTTAATCCCAGCACTCTCCTAGTTCAGGATCACTAGCCAAAGCCACTCCTTCACTTTCAGAAGGACAAACCCTCTGGACACTTGCACTAATCACAACACATTTTCAAGACTGTTACAAAACTGAGTTGGCTTACAACAATGCCAGAGCAAGATGCCACTGCTCACCTGACTGAGCACCCGGACTGACTTGGGCACCAGCTGGGCTTTCACTTACATTCAGCACTGCTCCGGCCCAAGGTGAAGGCAGAAGACAGCTAACACAAAGCACTGCGACAGTCAGCAGCTCTCAAAGAACTGTGCCATTTAATGTTAGGACAATTTTTTCCCCCCATCTTTTACTGCTGTGCATTCCTGGGACCACTAATACTTCTGCACACACAACTCAAAGTGGCCCAAAGTCAAAGTTTACCGGTTACTTCCTCAAAGAGCACAGCTCTTCAACATAATTGGTAGGCTTCAGAGTGAACAAGCCATCAGTACAAGGAAGAATATGCTAGGAGACGCCCACACGCTCTTTCTCCGTTTCTATGATCCGTAGCTTCA